AGAGCTATTTATACCTGTTTATAGGACGCAAGGAAGTACCCCACACACAAGTAGAGAAACGTCGCTGGTGCTGAAGAGTTTTGAGTATGAAAAGCCGCAACCCGAAGCGCCACCACCTTCTGTTAGACTCTGGTCATAAAGTAGTCATAATAAATATCGAATGACTGTATGAATACAGAAGGGACAGTAGGAGCCTCATTTTATCTTGATTCCTCCAGAAGGGCTTCAACACGGGGCTTGTCCATGGGCACGGTATACGCTGACCGTATGGGCAGGACGGCACCTATCATTGTCACTCTGTCTCTTTGTGCGCTTCTGCTCATAACACGCGAACGAGACTAAAGAATAGGGACGGGCCAATGAGGAATGCATAATCATACGTCTTTCTCCGCCTAGAAAAAAAACAATGCGCGCTCTCGGTACAGTTTCATTTGTGAATGATATCCGTTGAAAATGTCGTAGCAGTACGTGCAGAGTTGACTGTAGGAAGCGATGCCACCGCAAAAGACTGATGAATCAATAGACACCACGTCAAGGATGAAACCAACCTGGAAAAGCGTCTCTAAAGGGTACCAGGAAAACGGAGAAAATTGAAAAATTCTCAATTGAGAAAATTCAAGCAGGACTAAGTGATGGCGTTTTTACGAACCAACCCATGTGGTGTCTCTTTCGCGTCCGATCACTTTCTAAATATAATTAACCAGTCGGATCGCACGGCTCACGCCGTGCTCTCCTCCTTCTCTTGAGCTCGGCTTCGCCGAGCTGGCCTGGCTTCGCCAGGCACCTCCATAATTTTAACGGAATTTTTGCGGTAGTGGGCTGTTCATAAGGCGCTGTAGTGATCGAATCGTGACAGACAGAGCAAGGCTTACGATCCCGCACAACTCAGCACGCTCTTCGACTTACAGCGGCGGTGTAGTCCGCGCCATGACGCTCATAGAATACATAAATCTGTAGATAGATACAATGTGTAGTCTGTGTAGTCAGCCAATACAGCGCAATATGAATCGCTCAGTGAAACAGCAGATTTCGGAAACAGCAGATTTCGTTTCCATTACCTGCACCGGAATGCCTACGGACGAACGCTTTCCTTTCATTTAGCATGCGATCCGCTCGTTGAAGTGTTTTTCGGTTCTCCTCGACTCCTCGAATTTCCGTGAGATTCCTGTTTCAGGCGAACTACATACCCCCCCCCGCTCGTCGACATCGACATTATATAGTAGGATGAGTTCATTTTCTAAGGCTGTGAGGGAAGGGATGGCTGAAGCAACTTGGGGGTATGGTGATAAGAGAGATGATAATAATGACTCCTTATCGTTTCTTATCGATTGATAAGATCCTGTCACCCGTCATCAATGTCCCTATCACTGAAACTCTATAAGTTTGGTAGTGTAAAGGCTCCAGCAATTTGACTGAACAGCATTGGCAACGTTCCTTATCAGCCCCTATCAGCTGTTATCACCTCACGTGCCGTGTCCCCATCTCCAACTCTATATCATTTTCTGAAATTAATGCCTAGCTGATGCTGTGTTCCGCGTTATGAGTATGGTGACCTTACCATTCTAACTCCCCTTATCGAATCCTATCAGCTGCTATCATTCGCTGTCACCCATCAATAATGTTCCTGTCTCACGTCCTATATCATGCCTTGGAACCAATGTCCCACTGTTACTGTGTCCCGCACTATGGACTCGATCACCCTAACCTTCTGAAGCCTCTTGACGGATCTTATCAGCTGCTATCATTCCCTGTCACCCATCAATAATGTTCCTGTCTCACGTCCTATATCATACCTTGGAACCAATGTCCTACTGTTGCTGTGTCCCGCACTATGGACTCGGTCACCCTCCCCTTCTAAGGCACCTTATCGAATCTTATCAAGTGCTATCACCTTCTGCCACCCACCAAAACTGTTCCCGTCCTGCCGTGTACATTACTTCTCGGAACTGTCATCCTACCTCTTCTGCGACGCTCGCTATGAATTTCGTGACAGACAGACGGACGCACACACAAACAGACACACACACACACACACTTACAGACATACTTAGCGGATTATATATAGTAGGATGACTGGGAAAGGGATCGCCTTTTGCAGGGTGGAGGGCTCAGATTTGAAGAGACATTCCCCGACTGCGGTTTTTGGAGCCGAAGCAGGCCTAACATTATGCAAGTTCGCAGTTGAGTGCTCTGTTTCTGATAAGAATAAAGTGGAGGGATTCGGTAAATCCAGGCAGGGCACCATGATTAGCCACGTTCCGGCCACTACGACAACTCGAATATGGCCTGAAACTCAAGCCTGTGTCAGAGATATCTTGAAGTGATGCCTTTGAAAATACGAGCTCAAATGTCAGGAAGATCAAATGGTGGAGAAAAAACAGAAACAACTGGGCGCAAGTGCCCGAAATAGAGTCCCTGGCAAGCGCAGTTGTACGAGCAGAGGGTCATCAAAGGATGTGATCGGACGAGATCACCGGGCAATTGGTGCTATGGGCGATTAAGTCGCCGTAACTGGCCCGTGCTGGACTTCAATATTATAATACCCAGTCGGATCGCACGGCTCACGCCGTGCTCTCCTCCTTCTCTTGAGCTCGGCTTCGCCGAGCTGGCCTGGCTTCGCCAGGCACCTCCATAATTTTAACGGAATTTTTGCGGTAGTGGGCTGCTCATAAGGCGCTGTAGTGATCGAATCGTAACAGACAGAGCAAGGCTTACGATCCCGCACAACTCAGCACGCGCTTCTATTTACAGCGGCGGTGTAGTCCGCGCCATGACGCTCATAGAATACATAAATCTGTAGATAGATACAATGTGTAGTCTGTGTAGTCAGCCAATACAGCGCAATATGAATCGCTCAGTGAAACAGCAGATTTCGGAAACAGCAGATTTCGTTTCCATTACCTGCACCGGAATGCCTACGGACGAACGCTTTCCTTTCATTTAGCATGCGATCCGCTCGTTGAAGTGTTTTTCGGTTCTCCTCGACTCCTCGAATTTCCGTGAGATTCCTGTTTCAGGCGAACTACATACCCCCCCCGCTCGTCGACATCGACATTATATAGTAGGATGAGTTCATTTTCTAAGGCTATCAGGGAAGGGATGGCTGAAGCAACTTGGGGGTATGGTGATAAGAGAGATGATAATAATGACTCCTTATCGTTTCTTATCGATTGATAAGATCCTGTCATCCGTCATCAATGTCCCTATCACTGAAACTCTATAATTTGGTAGTGTAAAGGCTCCAGCAATTTGACTGAACAGCATTGGCAACGTTCCTTATCAGCCCCTATCAGCTGTTATCACCTCACGTGCCGTGTCCCCATCTCCAACTCTATATCATTTTCTGAAATTAATGCCTAGCTGATGCTGTGTTCCGCGTTATGAGTATGGTGACCTTACCATTCTAACTCCCCTTATCAAATCCTATCAGCTGCTATCATTCCCTGTCACCCATCAATAATGTTCCTGTCTCACGTCCTATATCATACCTTGGAACCAATGTCCCACTGTTACTGTGTCCCGCACTATGGACTCGATCACCCTAACCTTCTGAAGCCTCTTGACGGATCTTATCAGCTGCTATCATTCCCTGTCACCCATCAATAATGTTCCTGTCTCACGTCCTATATCATACCTTGGAACCAATGTCCCACTGTTACTGTGTCCCGCACTATGGACTCGGTCACCCTCCCCTTCTAAGGCCCCTTATCGAATCTTATCAAGTGCTATCACCTTCTGCCACCCACCAAAAGTGTTCCCGTCCTGCCGTGTACATTACTTCTCGGAACTGTCATCCTATCTTTCTGCGACGCTCGCTATGAATTTCGTGACAGACAGACAGACGCACACACAAACACACACACACACACTTACAGACATACTTAGCGGATTATATATAGTATAGTGGAAAGGGTTCGCCTTTGGCAGGGTGAGGGCTCAGATTTGAAGAACATCCCCGACTTGCGGGACGAAGCCAGGCCTAAACATTATGAATTCTAAGTTTGATCCGCCTGGCTTCTGATAAGATTAATAGTGAGGGATTCGGTAATCAGGCGGCACCATGATAGCCACGTTCCGCCCACTACGACGAACTCGATATGGGCCTAAACTCAAAGCCTGTGGTCAGATATCTTGGGAAGTGATGCTCGAATACCGAGCTCAAAATGTCAGGAAAGTCAATGGTGGAGAAAAAACAGAAACAACTGGGCGCAAGTGCCCGAAATAGAGTCCCCTGGCAAGCGCAGTTGTACGAGCAGAGGGTCATCAAAGGATGTGATCGGACGAGATCACCGGGCAATTGGTGCTATGGGCGATTTAGTCGCCGTAACTGGTCCGTGCTGGTTTCCTATTGACAACAATGTCTCTGCCTAGCCTTTGGCAGGTTTTCTACCATCATGGCCGAGTAGAGCGACAGAGGGGACCAATGAATGGGGTCGGGCCACGCCAGAGGGCGGCAGCAACGACGGCCTCCTCACTCGCTTTTTATGGTGCAACCGCCGCATCAAAGTGATGCAATCGTTGCCTTCTGCTGACCACTTTACCTGCCCACGAAAGGAGAGAGAAACTTCAACTGATCACGGGCACGCCTTGAACATAGCACCATATTTCAATTAAGAGGCTTCACGACCAATCCTGTGATTCAGGTTAGGCAGTACCAAAATTGGCAGTAGATGAAAGCAGATGAAAGATTAGAGCTTCGAATTTTGCTTAATTGCGACACTTTGGTTTGTTTTTTCTCTGCTCTAGACGTTCTATTTTGTGAACTGCTCCTCGTTGGCGCAGATTCTGAGGAAACAGTGGCCTCATCCAGCCTCTCGGCCTACGTGATTTCTCCATGGTGGACTTCTGATATGATCTATTCAAAACACAACCGGGCATATAAATACCATCCGCCGTTGAGCGGTGTTCATACTTCTGTTGCTACTGACGTTACTAGGTGGGTCGACTGTTTGTTACTGTTGGTTGGTTTGAATAACACGATCTGCTTCCAGTTGAAAACGATGCAGGCTGGTGCCAAGGCACCTAGCAGTTCCAAAGGTGCACCATCTGCTCCAACTCCCAAGTCTAAAACTGCGGATGCAGTGGATACTACGGCTAAAACGAAAACCAGTGAAAAGAAAGACACGAATTCCAAGGAAAGCAAGGAGAATAAGGAAAGCAAGGAGAGCAAGGAATCATCCAAAGAAGGTGAAAAGAAGAATAACGACAAGCCGAAGGAAAAATTGCAAAAACCTGGCGAGACCAAAGAGGTGTGTCTCCGCTTGGTGTTTTCTGGTGCGTCTTCATGAGTTCATGATATTTTCCAGGAAAGTAGTTTGCACTCGCCAGTCGAGTCGAAGAAACCTACTATAGCTGCTGGCTCTAACGGCGGATCTTCTGCTATTCTGCCTGATCCTGTTGGGGCATCACCTGGTGATCAAGCGGTATGTTGGACGTTTACCATAAGGCGTACTGTGAATATCCATGGGTAGCAGACTCCACTTGATCTCTGTAGAACTTCTGAGCTTTCAAGATACATACATCTGAGGGTTTCGCGGAGGAAGAACGCTCATTAGTATGATTACCATGAAGAAGTGCCCGATTTCATACTTCTGGAATGCCCTCAAACAGGCATTCCACCGCCAAGCCCACTCGTTCGAATCATAATGATGGGCTATATATTATCAGTGGTACAGGACTTCATTCATACTTCACTAGCGCTAGGAGGCGGTGCAATCATGGGTGTTCACTTTGCGGGCGCGGAGCTGCACAGGAAATGTTAGAAATTCACCGTAGTGAACTTTTAGCCTTCTTAGACAGCGTTTAGACTTCGCGATAATGCGCGTCGATGCGCTACAACTGGGCGACAATTCAAATGCTGTGGAGCGAACGCAGCCGCAGAAAGGCATCGATCGGCGCCGGCCGGCTCTTACAGAAGAACAGAGGGTACCAGGTAACGCAAAAACACGCCTAACCTCCTGTTACCCTCTAGTCTCTCACTGCTTCTCAAAACGCAGGCGGCAATCGCCGATCGATTCCTGTCAGTGGTTTCGTTCACATTTTTAGCATTTGGGCGGTCTTGCAAAGGTAGAGCGTCGACGCGCACTGAGGGGCGTCAAAGCGCGAAGTCTGAACGCTACCGTAGATGACGTGCAATCATCGTCGCAGTACACGTTGATGACGTGTAGTGGAACGTCATCCAGTACAAGTTTCTCTATAATGATCTTCTCCAACTTCTCTCTTGCTGTAACCTCGGCATTGTTGTATGATTCGTTAATACTGCTGTGCCTCTCGAGGTTTTCAGGTGGAATATTTATTTAGCGGCCTAACGTTTCGAACGTTTGGAAGTGTCCGTCTCTCAAGGCCAGGGTTCCGCGAACACAGTTCGCTACTGAGTGCCCGCATGTGACGGCGGATTCGCGGTAGAACGACCACGTCGAAACCTTAGGTCGCTAAATAAATATTCACCTGAAAACCTCGAGAGGCACAGCAATATTAATGAATCTCTAATAATGTTATACGACGTCAAGAAACGTCATCTCTTAACAACCAACAGTTTTATAGACACCTACGCCGCCGTGCCGCCGTCAAGCCATTTACTGATCAAGGATGTGCGTAGGAGTGTGTAGATAGTTCCCACCGCTCGTCGCACGCGATCAAAATGCGTGATAATCGGTTGCTGCGAAATCGCAGCGCGAACTTAGCACACGATGAGCAGGTAAAACAAACAACACGTATTATCTGAATGTGTAAAAACAATGTGAAACTCCAAAATTTTATTCCAAAAAACTCAAAAGACAACAAAAGTCTCAAAAGTTTTTCAAAATATCTTATCTTGCAATATTTCGGTGCGTAGCACCTTCCTCAGGCCTGAAATTATTTAGCTTGACTTCCTTATTCGAATGAGTAATGAAGACTCCGGGGACAGCACATACTCACACTGTATGGACCTGTCCTACGGCGGCAGAGCGCAGCATGTGACAAAGCATCCTCTGCCATCAAAAATGGTGAGCAGTGGGGTTTAAAAACCAGTGACAAGGTGACAATTTGTTAAGTAACTCAGTGATGAGGAAAACAGCTGTGAACCCTTCCAAGTGCCATGTCTCCTCTCCGGCGCCCGTGCCCGTTGGCACGATACCTGAGATGGGGGCATGCGTCGTGGTTGGCTACTTGATGGGTCCTGCGCGACTGATACCAGAGATGTTGCCATCGGAGCGCCTGCCGACAGAAATACGTCCCTTGCTAGACCAGCTGCGGTTTACACCAAGATGTCATATGCGGCAGACTACCCGATCAAGTGCGTACAACTCCTAGGTGTGAAGGTTTCAGCAAATCTCGAGTGACGCAACTGAAAAAACCTTGTTTAAGAGCAAGGCAAGAGAGCATCAGGGTGTCAGTAAAGTTTTGAGAAAATTCGGTCATTTTATTCAACACATATTAACAACAACAAAAGCGAAAAATCAGTAATCAAGATAGTGGCCCTTCTTAGCCACGACGTCTCTCCACCGTTTGGGCAGGGCATCGATACCTTCCTTCCAGGAAACAGGCCGAAACGCGAATCTATTCATCGACTGTACACTTGACATCCTGACGACAGTTGAGCATCTTGCCTTTGCCTGGAGAATTGTAAAGGCATGGTGATCACAAGAGCTAAGGCCAGATGAATACGGAGGATGGGGCAGCCATTCGATTCCTAAATTCTCCAGCTCGTCCCTTGTCGCCTTCGCATGATGTGGTCGGGCGTTGTCCATGACGATGTGAAATTTGCCCCGGTATTTATGTGAAACTGAGACTGTCAGCTCTCCCAGTTGCTCACAAAATATTTATGATGTTACAGCAGTACTCTCAGGGAGATGCAGCAGGTGGAGTAGAAGAAAAAGAGCAACACCTTGTTGGTGCGGCAACCCCGCTATGGGAACGAGCTCTGGCTTTGGTCCAACGGCAGCCACTTCAGTTTCCTATTTGGGTATACGTATGGAATCCACTTTTCATCTTGAGCAATCATGAAGCTCGTTCGTCCCTGTCGAGGAGTTCTGCCATACATCGACCGTCACCGCACGTGAAATAGTTTCGGGCAGAGTCGCGCAAAACCCGATCCTAGTCGGAATGACGTGAAAAGATTGATCGAGGAGTAGATATCGTCCTCTCCAGTGCCCTCAAACTTTGGGCAGGAATGCTTCCCACAGAAGCCAGAACGATGCCAGTGTTGGAAGAGGGAGGGCGTCCGCATCGAGGTGCTTCATCGAGGCTAAACTCTCCCACTGCGAAGCGATCGTACCACCTGTAGCAGGTTGCAAGAAGGGTGCATTGCCACCCATCGACGACAGCAACTCGTTCCTGGCTTGAGAGGTGAAGCGGCCAGAATGGTAAAGATGAAGTAGAAGATCCAGTCGAGTGTCGTGCCGGTCGCACATTTTTCAATCGATGGCAACTAAGGTTAATGACGACATGTAATGTCGATCACCTATCGACTGGATCTCCACATGATCCTTTACCCGCATTCGAGCTGCATATTTGTTCGGCCACTTGGCGCGCTGTGCTTTTTCAACGTGAGGCAACGGATTTTTCTCAAAACTTTCCGGACATTCTATTGAAATAAAAGATACGTGACGTGAGACGCTTCACGTTTCACACCAGATAAAAAGTAAAAGCGATTAAATTACTTCATGTAAGAGATCGTTATTCGAAAAATATCATCTAAGATTAAGAGAAGGACGAAGA